GTCTCTCTCTCTCTCTCTCTCTCTCTCTCTCTCTCTCTAAAACTCTAATTCTTGCACCACCCTGCTGATTTTTCCAATGGAGTTCTTGCATAGCTTGAAACTCTCTCTCTCTCTAAAACTCTAACTCTTGCACCACCCTGCTGATTTTTTCAATGGAGCTGCTGCATAGCTTGAAACATATAAATAAAGCATCACTCTAAAACAAAGATAGTCCCACAAATTTTGCTAGCCTCTAGATTTCAAAATAGGATGAAGTAAGCAACAAAAGCTTAATTTCAATTTTCTCACCACAAATATATGGCATGGGCCCCACTTGATGCAAATTATATGAACCCCATCACACTGCTAAAGGTACAATTAGAATGCCCAAAACAGAAAACAAGTCATGCAATTATCAAACAAGGATAACGTATAATTTTCTTCCAAACCTTGGTCCAATTTTCCTGAATACAGTCATGTAAGAAACAAACAACAAAGCTCTAGACAATTTTCCTTGTCTACAATTCCAATTATACTCAATTTCAGAAAATTGTATTTCAGTAGATTGCAAAATGTAGAGACAAACCACATTAATTGAGAGAGAGCTTTTTAAAATCAGTAATGATATGCATTGAGCCTTGCTCCGTTCACATTCATGAGTTCAATAAAAATAGGGGGAAAAGTAAAAAAAAAAAAAAAACACTTAACCCAGCTGTTCATCAAGAATTCCAGAACTTCAAGACCAGCAGTCATTCATGAGCTCTTTTTTTTTTTTAGATAATGTTGATTTTTATATACTATAAAAGGGAGTACAGATAAAAGAAGAGAAGTGCTTTTCCACAGGCGAAAAGCTAGCAAAACCCTTATGAAAAGGGGGGTGAGAGAGAGTAGAATCCAAAAAAAATATCTTTTTAGTAGTTACAGTGACAAAAACAAAGCAACCATCAAAAAGGTGTCCATCCCAAAAATCAAGCGTGAACTAAAGCTGCTCCATCTTTAGCTAGAGTGTCCGCCGCCTATTTTCCTTCCCTCCAAATATGCCACCATGAGGTGCGCTTATCCCTGCAAATTAGTGAACCTCATCAAAAATGTGTGCAAAGTTCCAAGGAGGAGGAGAAAATTTAGAGGCCGAAGCAATAAGGGGCTCCGAGAGGTAAGGAAGACAAAGTTTGAGGCCCTCAAGAAGGCTAATTGCACTGATGAAACCATTCGAACTTCTTGGTGAAAAGAAATGGTTTTTTTCTCTTTTTCTGTGCATGTGTGTGTATGTTATGCAGAGAGAGAGAGAGAGAGAGAGAGAGAGTTTTCATACAAAGTGCTGACTACAAACTCTGTCCAAAGGAATGCATTGTTCATGGTTTAGAGTGCTATGCTTGTTTGCTTGGGTAACAAGAAAACCCATTAGGCTCTCTCGCTTGACTAGAATGTACTATTGGTGAGAAGAATGGCTGAGAGACATGCTTTTCAAGGTTTCATCCTTTAAGGTAACTGGAGTATTAATGACCGACTATGGTTTGATATCTTTCAAAATCATGAAATTAGCTTTTCTATCCCTTCTAAATCGTGCATGGATAATGTCCAGGAGTCTTTCTATTGGGAACCATTGATGCTTAGCTTTCAGTTATTGCATAAGAGTATCAAGTTTAGTGTCAGTGTATGACTTTAATTTTATTCTTCAATGGAGGTATGAAGTCCTGTACAGTGAGCATTGCAGTTTTACAGAGTTTGAGGGAGTTTATGAGCTTGGTTTCTTCTGTAAACATCATCCCAAGTGTAAACAATAGTGACCCTCACGAAGAAACAAGAGAATGTACATAGTTCTGAGATTTCTGCAGCATCTTGCACTGATGAAAACCTTTCGAACTTCTTAGTGATAAGAGAAGTATAGAAGTAGATATAGCCCAGGCCTTCGGGGAATAAATATTACTTTATTATTTTGTTGGCAATTTCATATATGTTTTTTATAAGCTGTCTGATTTTGTTGCCTTTCTGTTAGGTTATTCCTTTGAAATTGAAGAATGGGGATCCAATAACCGGTTAGGCTTTGTTTTATGAAACCGTTTGGATCCTTAATCTCATAAAGGAATTGCATTCAAAGTGTGAGCCACAACTATCTCATTAGATGCTTGTTTCCTGTGCCTCATCAGATGCTTGTTTCATGTGCTACTAACCATATTTTCTGTTAGAATCAATGTCACTCTTAGAACTAACCATATCTCATCAGAAGTAAGAACTATACAGCGACTCTGTCAAGAAACAAGTTAAATGGAGACAGAGAGATCACCCCATCAACAACCAGCATTCATTATTACACATAGAACTAGAGTAGAAACAAGGGACTCATCAAATAAAGAATAAAAAATAATGGAAAACACACAGAGATGCAATCTGATGGAGAGAGAGGGGCAATCAAAACTACTAAATCAGATAAAGTAAGAACTATACAAAGGCAGAGCATCTCTTCAAAAAACAAGGAACAAAGGAGAGGGAGAGAGAGAGATCACCCATCAACAACCAGTATGTATTAATTAATACACATAAAACCAGAGTAGAAACAGGGGACACATCAAAACAAAAAAAATAACGAACAGAGAGAGAGAGAGAGAGTAGCCATAAGAGCTAGGAGCAGGGGCAAAAACTGGACCGCAATCCATGCCACGTGCATCAAGTAGGAACCCCAGGCCAAGAGTTCGGGACTCAGGTAGGAGCAGTTGCACCAGTCGCGCCTCCACATCCACATCATGCCATTAAATTAAGAGGAGGTAAACCAACTAATATTTTGAACCGATGTCATAACGGACAAAAGCAAAAAATGCTTAAATGCTTAACTATTGACACAAACTGAACCCATCAAAAGTATGAATTTTAAATAAAGCAAGTAAACACATGAAGCCACAACAATGTCAAAAATCACCCAAGAAACAGTGTCATGTATGCGTTATTCTGTAGCGAGAGAGAGAGAGAGATCAATCGGTATAGAAAATTGTACCTGAAACAAAGAGAGGGGAGGGCTTCACTCCACTGTCTGAGTAGGAACTGCCATGAAAGAAAGCAAGGGCTGGGCTGGGCAGCTTGAGAGAGCGCCATCGCCACAACTCGACCTATGAAACTAGTAACTCTTGCACTACCCAACTGATTTTCTTCAATGGAGTCTCTCTCTCTCTCTCTCTACTAAAACTCTAACCCTTGCACCACTCTGCTGATCTTTTCAATGGAGTTCTTGCATAGCTTAAACATATAAATAAAGCATCAGTCCAAAACAAAGATAGTCCCACAAATTTTGCTAGCCTCTAGATATCAAAATAGGATGAAGTAAGCAACAAAAGCTTAATTTCAATTTTCTCACCACAAATATATGGCACGGGCTCCACTGGATGCAAATTATACGAACCAAATCACACTGTTAAAGGCACAAACAGAATGCCCAAAACAGAAAACAAGTCATGCAATTATCAAACAAGCATCAAGTATAATTTGCTTGCATTGGTCAATTTTGTTGAATACAGTCATGTAAGAAACAAACAACAAAGCTCTAGACAATTTTCCTTGTCTACAATTCCAATTATACTCAATTTCAGAACATTGTATTTCAGTAGATTGCAAAATGTAGAGACAAACCACATTAATTGAGAGAGAGCTTTTTAAAATCAGTAATGCTACGCATTGAGCCTTGCTCAGAGTGGGCCGTTCACATTCATGAGTTCAATAAAAATAGGGGGAAAGTAAAAAAAATAATTAAAAAAAACACTTAAACCAGCAGCAGTTCATCAAGAATTCCAGAACTTCAAGACTACATCACCCTGCCAAATTATACGAACCACATCACACTGCTAAAGGCACAAACAGAATGCCCAAAACAGAAAACAAGTCATGCAATTATCGAACAAGGATCAAGTATAATTTGCTTGCATACCTTGGTCAATTTTGTTGAATACAGTCATGTAAGAAACAAACAACAAAGCTCTAGACAATTTTCCTTGTCTACAATTCCAATTATACTCAATTTCAGAACATTGTATTTCAGTAGATTGCAAAATGTAGAGACAAACCACATTAATTGAGAGAGAGCTTTTTAAAATCAGTAATGCTACGCATTGAGCCTTGCTGAGAGTGGGCCGTTCACATCCATGAGTTCAATAAAAATAGGGGGAAGTAAAAAAAAAAAAAAACACTTAAACCAGCAGTTCATCAAGAATTCCAGAACTTCAAGACCGGCAGTCATCCATGAGCTCGTTTTTTTTTCGATAATGTTGATTTTTATATAGTATAAGCCGGAGTACAGAGAAAAGAAGAGAAGTGCTTTTCCACAGGCGAAAAGCTAACAGAACCCTTATGAAAAGGGGGGTGAGAGAGTAGATTCCAAAAAACATATCTTTTTAGTAGTTACAGTGACAGAAACAAAGTAACCATCAAAAAGATGTCGATCCCAAAAATCAAACATGACCTAAAGCTGCTCCATCTTTAGCTAGAGAGTCCGCTGCCTATTTTCCTTCCCTCCAAATGTGCCTCCATGTGTTGCGCATATCCCTGCAAATATAGAAACAAAGCAACCATCAAAAAGATGCCGATCCCAAAAATCAAATGTGAACTAAAGCTGCTCCATCTTTAGCTAGAGAGTCCGCTGCCTATTTTCCTTCCCTCCAAATATGCCTCAATGAGGCGCGCATATCCCTGCAAATATAGTGAACCTCATCAATCAAAAATGTGTGCCAACTTCCAAGGAGGAGGAGAAAATTTAGAGGCCGAAGCAATAATATTTTTTGAGTCTCCTACGATTATGAGGGGCTCCGAGAGGTAAGGAAGACAAAGTTTGAAGCCTTCAAGGAGGGCAGTTACTTCTGCCTCCATTGAATCAGAATGTCCAATGGATTTGGATTGGTAAGCTAGTGTGGTGCCAGAGCTATAAGCTCTTTTTCTATAAATAATTAAAATCAGCAATGCTATGTTATGAGCATCAAAATGCATAATGAAGGTGTACTAGAGACCAAACTCATATAGCAAAATGCATCATTAAAGCAATGGACAATCATGGAACAAAGATTCATGAAGGCTCAATTCCCAAATACATTAACAAATCCTCCAGCATAGAAAAAAAAAAAGCATATAACCTATCATAACACATGTCCAATGTTATCGAGAGATTGAAACCCATCCACGTCATTTTGGTGGTGGTTGTACCCTCTAAATTTTCGGTTTTACAGTAAAACTCTTCTAAACCGGCATCAAATGTTTTCATCTTCATATATTATCATCACTTAAATTGATTTAATAAATTTGGTTTGACTTGGTTCATTTAACACATTTCTCATGATTCACATACAAGAACCGTGCATTGGTTAAGTTGATTGTCCGTGTAATTTTTTTTGAGTTGCACTATTCTACTACAACAATAGTTGCAATAGAAAGTCAGCAGCTACATCATGATCACTTAGTAATGAGATGATGTTTATGAAATATTGTTAGGATGAATTAGTTTCACCCTCTCTCTTGGGTACCATCTAAAAATAATTGTAGATGTCTTACTTTTTGGATTATGACGTGGATGGGTTTCAATCTCTCTATAACATAGAGAATCAACTTAACCCAAAAAATAAAACATCCGCAACCATTTTTAGATAGTACCCAAGAGAGAGGATGAAACTAATCAATACTAACAATATTTCATAAACATCATCTCATTACGAAGTGATCATGATGCAGCTGTTGACTTTCTACTGCAACTAGAGTTGTAATAGAACAGTACAACTCAAAAAAATTACATAGATAATCAACTTAACCAATGCATAGTTCTTGTATGTGAATCATGAAAATGTGTTAAATGAACCAAGTCACACCATATTTATTCAAATGAAGATAATATATGAAGATGAAAACATTTGATGCCAGTTTAGAATAGTTCTATAATAAAATTGGAAATTCAGAGGGTACAACCACCACCAAAAGTAAAATAAAAAAATCAATATGCAACTCTTCACCAATCTTATCCCGAGGGTACAACCACCACCAAAATAATATAAAAAAATCAGTATGCATCTCTTTACCAATTTTATTAAGAGGGTATAACCACCACCAAAAATAAAATAAACAAATCAATATGCATTTCTTTACCATTAAAAAAGAGAATAAACTACCATGCATCTCTTTGATAAGCTAGAACCACCACATAATAAAAACCAGTACAATATCACCAAGATTGATTGCAGCCAGTTACTCATTGCATATGGAAATTCACAGAAATAAAAATCAGTACGCATCATGATCCATGACCACATCAAAAAAGATCGATGTGCCCTAAAAACAGAGTAAAGAATTATGGCAATTGTAGAAACACAGCAACATATGACGATATGACTGAATTTGAGAAGATAATAACCAACCAATCAAATGATCTTTCAAAAAAACATCTTAATCCAACTAAAATCGATTAAAATATGTGTGGTCAATAAAATATGTGAAAATCAGTATACATGTAATAAATCAATAAAATCTGATTTTTATCAAAATAGATTATTCAGTGTTCTTATTCAAAAGCTTACCAAAAACTAGTTCATTGAGCACTTGTCAGGTATTTAGTTTTGAAAATGTATTTGGTACTTGAACTAAAGCAATCAACAATCAACAAATCTGTTAAAACGGGATGGAGGCTTTGTTTCCTCTAGAGAGAGAAAGTGAAGAGCTTGATCCACAGAGGGAGTTTGTTTCCTCTAGAGAGAGAAAGTGAAGAGCTAGATCCACAGAGGGGATTGAGCTGAGAAATGGTGGGGATGGCGGTGTTGTTTCCTCTAGAGAGAGAAAGTGAAGAGCTTGATCCACAGAGTGAATTGAGCTGAGAAATGGTGGGGATCCCGGTGTTGTTTTCTCTAGAGAAAGAAAGTGAAGAGCTTGATCCACAGAGCTGAGAAACGGTGGAAGAGGGTTTCCTTCTAAAGAGAGAGTAGAAAATTTCTCCAGAGATAAAGGTGCAGGTGGATTTCTTTCTAGAGAGAGATTTGAAAATTTCTCTAGAGGGAGAAGAGGGTTTTCTCTAGGACTTTCCGAGAATATTCCCAGAATCCGAACTACTTCACGTGGCACAACATATGGGCCGTGTGAGATAACAATTGGGTCAGGGAGAAGGAGATCTTGAGGTACAGCAGCAGCAGGGACTTTTCTGATGCCTCTCGTAGTGCCGGGTTTTCTCACAGATAGAAACTTGTTCCGTGGGTCATTCTTCATCCTGACCGAAAAACCGAACCTCATGGCTGCCTTGCCTGCCTGCTATAGAGAGGAGAAATAGAAAGAGAGAGAAGAGAAAAAGAAAGAGAAGCTCCCTGGTTCGTTTGTTTAAGTAAGTAATCGATCGCCAACGGCTCTTTCTTTCTTTTTCTTGGATCCTAGAGAGAGAGAAAGAAGAGCAATAGAAAGAGAAGCTCCCTGGTTCGTGTGTTAAGTAATCGATCGCCAACGGCTCTTTCTTTCTTTCTGTTTCTTGGATCCTGGAGAGAGAGAAAGAAGAGCAATAGAAAGAGAAGCTCCCTGTTTCGCGTGTTAAGTAATCGATCGCCAACGGCTGTTTCTTTCTTTTTCTTGGATCCTAGAGAGAGAGAAGAGCAATAGAAAGAGAAGCTCCCTAGTTCGCTTGTTAAGTAAGTAATCGATCGCCAACGGTGATTTCTTTATTTCTTCTTCTTGGATCAGAGAGAGAGAAGAGCAATGGAAAGAGAAGCTCCCTGGTTCGTGTGTTAAGTAAGTAATCGATCGCCAACGGCTCTTTCTTTCTTTTTCTAGGATCCTAGACAGAGAGAAGAGCAACAGAAAGAGAAGCTGCCTGGTTCGCTTGTTAAGTAAGTAATGGACCGCCAACGGTGATTTCTTTATTTCTTCTTCTTGGATTGGAGAGAGAGAAGAACAATAGAAAGAGAAGCTCCCTGGTTCGTGTGTTAAGTAATCGATCGCCAACGGCTCTGACTTTCTTTTTCTTGGATCCTAGAGAGAGAGAACAGCAATAGAAAGAGACGCTCCCGGGTTCGCGTGTTAAGAAAACAACTGATCACCAACGGCTATTTTTTTCTTTTTCTTGGCTCCGAGAGATAGAAGAGAGAGGAGAGAGACGAGAGAAATGGAATGAGAAGCTCTCTGGTTCGCATGTTAAGTAATCCATCGCCAACCGTTTTTTATTTTTATTTTTTTCCGGTGGCAAGTACCCAAAGGCTCTCAAGTATCCTGCATTATTATTATTATTTATTTTTTTTTTTTTTTTTTTTTTTCTCACCTCAAATATTTATGATATTATATAAGATGCGGTTTCTATAAGGCTGCGACCTTAAACAATCCAATCAAGACACCTCCAAATTTTATAATTTTGGTGTAAACGTTAAAAAAATTTCCTAATTTCGTGGTCTTTGAATAATTAAAGCTCTAATTTCGTGGTCTTTGAATTAATAGCACTTGCGATTTTAGCACTTGGAGAGGGGACTAGAATTCTAACCATAACAATTCGAATTACCAAATGCGAGTCCTAATTTATCTAGGAAATTTACACTACCTGCACATTTGGTTCGTGTGAAAATGTTTTTTAGCTTTTTGGAAACATTTTCACATGAAAAAATTCTCTCATGTGTGTCAAGTGTAAGAACATTTTCATATCAATTGGTCTTAATGTATCTTTTCATACCAATTGACAACTAATTGATGCAAAAATATTCTCACATGACCACATAAGAGAATTTTTTCACGTGAAAAAGTTTTCTAAAAAACATTTTCACGCAAACAAAATGTGTCTAAAATCTAAAACAATAGCGGGTGTAATTAGGCTTCCAAGGGTTTAAGGAGAGAGATTTTAGGTCGGAGGGATAAAAAATTAATGGATTTGATTGGAAGTCATATTTTAGGAGAAGTATTGGAGTTTCCCGAGAAAAAGCAATTTTAAATTAAGAGAGAAAAAATTAACTATGACAAAATTTCATAACCACTCATATTTGTTCTTCCTTCTCCCTAATGATACAGATATAGATAAAACAATAGTGTTTACGAAAAACGACTTTATAAAACAATAATTGTTACAAAAAGCAACTTTGTCAAACTGAAAAACAACCTTCCTTATTCATCACCCTTTATCAGCTTGAATGAATTGGGCACCTCCACTTCTCCCATGAACTGCCCTGTAAAAAGTCCACCAATAAACCGAGAAAGAAGCTAATGCGAAATCCACAATGACAACCCCCCAATAATGAATCCATCACAGGCCAATTCAGAATATCTCCCTTCATTGTCTTTGGGCATGGCGGGTAAGCATAGCATCAAATATAACGGCTAAAGGCTATTTCCCTCATTCCTTGAGTCGGTCACAATAACAGCTTGGATCTAGAAACGGCAATACATCTCTCAATATTGCAAGCTCACCTTATTTCTTGAACCTTCGCAACACCCATTTCTCGGAGAGGAGCTTCTTAACGGATTCGAGGAAAAGATACCGCTCCAAATCTCAAAACCTTGGTTACCCATTTCTCAGAGCTGCATCAGACAACCAATTTAAGGAAAAGATGAGACCCATGCTCAAGTATGTAAGCCCTTGACCAGACAAATTCCAGACTTGAGCTTCCTCGATTCCTTCCTAAAACCAGCCAAGACAGCACAACGAGCTGACCTAAGGACCTTCACGCCATCTTTCAAGCAAGCAAACAAAAGCCTAAAAGCAACATGGAATCTCTTAGCCAACAAAGCCCATGCAAAACCGAGGTATAAGTATAGCAGTCTTTTACCTTCATCTCACTAAACCGCTTGATGGCTAAGTCCACCCGACCAGCTTTAAACAACCCATGAATCAAGCAATTCTTAGCCACAATGCTCGATCTCCAACCCCTTATCTCCATTTATCTAAAATGCCTTCTCGTGGCATCTACATCACCTATCTTACACAACCTATCAATCCGCATTGTATGGGTATATTCATCACTTTTTTTACCCCCATCGTCTTTTTCTCATTCACAAGCCGAAAAGCTGAGACCAAGTCCCTTCTTTACAATAGCTATTCATCATGCTGTTGTAAGAAACAATATCAATAGGGGCCCCACAGCCAAGCATCCGGTCTGTGCAAGCATAAGCCTCTTCAGTCATACACAACTTGGAAATATCACTAATCATTGTACAATCTGCAAAGGCATCGCCATCGATATTGTAGCCCTTATGCTTCATTTCAGAAAAGAGCTCAAAGCCAACATTGGCTTTACCTGATCAAAAACAACAGGTTATGACAGTTGTAAAAGTTATGGCATTTGGGGTATAACCCATCTTCTCAAGCTCCTTGAGGACCCTTCTCGCTTCATGTATCTTGCCACACCTACACAGTCCATCAATTAGTATGTTGTATCTGATTAATTCTTGAGGGCAACCGAGCCCATCAAGCTTCCTAAACAATCTAAGGGCATCACCTATGTCACCAGCCTTGCATAGACCATTGATTACGGTATTATATGCAGTTAAGGTAGGTGCAATGTTCCTCGAGAACATGTCCTGGATAATCTGGTAAGCATCATCAGACCTTCCAACTTTGAAGTAACAGTGGATCATTGAGCTATAGCTCCAAGCATCAGGAACAATCTCAGTCTCTAGCATCACATGGAACAAATCAAGGGTCCGTGATATAAGCTCTTTCTTGGTAGCACCGGCAATTAGAGTATTGTAAGTGATAACATCAGGCTAGGTTCCAGCTTCTTTCATTTTGTCAAGAACTGAGTATGCAGCATCAACACTGAGAAACTGGCAATATGCAGCGATTAAGTATTGTAAGTCACAACATCGGGAAGATACCCAAGCCGTATGCCGACTATAATTAGGGCTTCGGCCTTTTCCAAGTTTCTAGCTTTGCAAAAGGAAGAGATACAAATGTTCAGCAGCCGAGTTGATAAGCCACTGATCATTATTTAAGCTCGTGGGATAAAGAAAAAGGCTAGAGTCCTGCATATAATTAAAATGGTGAACTATACAATAACTAAGAGAAAATGGAAACCATTGTTTATTGGGTCAGCACCGTACATTGGAACAGTGGACAACGATAGATCAAGCGTGGGACCTGTCATAAGTAGCCCCTGTCTCTCCATCATTTCCATGAATGGTGGTAACCCAATTGACTATGGTTTTTGCATGGAGCATAGGATTATATACGATACTTAGTTAACAACACCCTTTTCTGTTTCCGATAGGTTAGTCAGGTTCAAACGTACATCTCAATGTTGAAACTTTCAGAACCTTCCAATTGAGCAATGGGCTCAAACCCAAGACCCCTCAATTCCAGGTGCAACACATAGAAAAAGAAATAAAAGGGCAGATTCCAGAGCAAATCCACAAGTATGACTTGCATTCTATATAGAAAGGGTCTTAAGACCATCACTTGTTAACCTGCCCAGAGTCTGCTCTTGAAGATTAACCTCTAATGAAAAACAAGAAAGGACGAATAAACTAGGCATGGAAACAAAATATAAATTTAGACCTACACATCTTTAAAGGACAAACAAACTAGGCATCTATTGGAGTATGGAATATGGCAATTGTAAAGTGTAATTCTTTTCTTGATGAGGAACTGTGGAGATTTCTTGTATTTTACTGATGGCCCAGGGCCCCACTACAGTAGATCTTCATTGCTGCCATCAGGGACATCGAGTGAATGCCCTTTGATATTTAGACTTACACATCTTGAAAGGACAAAGAAACTAGGCTCTATTGGAGTATAGAATATGGCAATTGTAAAGAGCAATTCTTTTCTTTGTAAGGAACGGTGGAGATTTCCTATATTTTTGTCACACCCCAAGAATTTACAATACTGTTATTCTTGAGATGTGACAGACAAAACATATATACATCTATTGATAGGATAAATTTACAGTGGCGAGGTCTTACAAAGTAAATAAAGAAAGCTAGTACAACAACAGTATCTTCCAAGGTTGATCTTGACTATCACTCAAAATGAATCCGCAGTTATTCTGAAAAAATGTTTACCATAGTTTGATGAGTTTGGCTACTCAGTAAGTGATCATCATAATCCTAAAAATAATCATGATTGAAAGA